AAATTCGAAGTGGGTATTCTTCGGAAGATGTAAAGAGGGTGGTACACAAACAGCGGATGTTCCAAAGTAGTGCATAAGTATATAATAGTGAAAATCGTTCAGCAGTATCTTTTCTTTTTCTAGAAAAGTAGTGATGATGAGGACTCGTTTGAATATCTTTATTGGCGAGCTTTCGCTGTGCCAACAGCTACTTCAGTCCTAAATTAATCAAGCATTTAGCTTACGTACTGTAATTCTTAACAACTAAAGCTACACGAACGCACTGACCAGACTATTCATAGCAACTCGCTAAGTTCTGCACAGAAACGACAAGAGTTAGCTACACAGTCATACAGAAGGACTACGTGCATATTATAGTGCAGAACTTAGCGAGTTGCTGTGAGTAATCTGGTCAGTACTTTCGTGTAGCTTTAGTTGTTAAGAATTACAGTACATATGTTAAAAGCTTGATTAACTTCAGGTCTGAAGAAGCTGTTAGTACAGCAAAAGCTAGCCAATAAGATAAGATATTTAAAAATGCTCGTCATCATCATTATTTCTAGAAGAAGATCTTGTATAAACGAGGCTCAGGGATGGCTCACTTCTCCCATATCTAGTATCTTTTCTATTGTTCGGAACTAGCCTATCTTATTTGTAATATCCTTTTGAGCAGTTTACATTTTTTTTTTTCAGTACGTCAACCACTCATCTGTGGCATCACAGTAATGATCTTCTCTAACATCATTTTCTGTTTTGTGGAAGCATTCAAAGAGAAGGAACGGCGATGGGTCATGATGGTGGCAAGGTGGGTTCAAGCGTAAGAAGTTGGGATTCTAGCACAGAAGAGTTCCCAGAAGCATTACAAATGAATATGTAGGATACGTTTTTGTAAGATGCCTTAGATACATTACAAATATACACTTCAATCACTCATCTATCCCTTTCATCTACGAATGGCACCGTGTGGTTCGTAGGGGAAAATTTGAGTAGGACTCAAGGAGGTTTCAGATTCTTCATTGGTCTTGGAGCCGGAACAGTCGGCGTGATGCGTGCTTACGCTTCCACAGCCAGCAGCCTGAAAGATCGCGCTCGTGCAATCACATTTATCCAAGCCAGCTATGTCATCGGGATGACGATTGGACCCGGAATCCCGGTAAAGCTTTCATTCACTTAAGCATTTTTTCTTTATTTTTCTCTCCCATGTTCACCTAGTATCAGAAGCCCAAGAAAGGATTTCTCGAATTATAGGTCGCTTTCGCTCCGATCAAATTCCCAGGACTCGTGTTCGGGCCTGTTCATCTGGACATGTACACTGCCCCGGCTTGGTTCGCAACGCTGATCTGTATTCTGTCACTGGTTTTGCTTATCATCTTACTTGAGGAAAATTATGCCGGTGTTCAAGAAGTCGACAGTGGTAAGAATGACTGGTATTCCCCTTTGTTTGAGATGGAGCCGCCACCAGTCATACTTATTACGCATATTTTCATGTTGTTAACAAACAGGATTTTGAAGCGAGCAAAATAACGAGCTACTGAATTTGCATCTGCGCAAGTGTAGTTGGTTATTAAACTGTAGGATAAGAATTTTTATTTTTCTAATTTTTTTTTAGAGAAATAATTTGAAAACGGGATAGCCATCAGAATACAATAAATGATACTAGGTTGTCCGGAAACTCCCATCACGTTTCAGAGTCAAGGAAATACAAAAAATTCTAAAAAAGTTCTCTGGTTGCCATGAAGTTGAATTCGATTCTTTGAGTCTTTAAGCTATTAGAGAGGATTCAACGGCAGAAGGTAAAGCGAAGAATCTAGGTCAACCTAGGGAAGGATAGACGTGGCCCCTGCTGGCATCTCTACGCCTTGCCCTTCGCCGTCTAGAGCGCTAGCCGTTTAGCAGAGAGAGCGTTAACGTTGAAGAGGGCAGCACCGATGAGAGTCACGTCAATGTGGAAATCAGCAAGCAATGCTTTCTTTTCTTATTCATCCCTGTACCACTGACTCGAGGGCAGTGGAGTGAGGAGCAAAGGATAGGGAGGATAAGGAGGGGAGGAGGAAAACCGATCTCTGCAGACCAAAGACAGAGATGCATAGGTGAATGTCCGTCAGGGATATCAAGGATGTGTACTAGAAGCACGGTAGGCAAACATATTTCGATCTCGTCATCAATAACAGCAAAAAACCTACACAACAGCTGAAGTATCCGAATTCAATGTGAATGCTAGATGTTTGCAGCGTTGTGAAAAGTAGTACGAATCGACTTCTTTTTTGCAACTAATCCGTTTCTCGTCGTATGTGGAGATGCACTTCGTTGTAAAGTATTAGGTTGGTGCATAAGTCTTACAACAAACTGGCTGCTGGGAATTTAGATTTCGAAGATTATGCTATACGAAGTTATTACATTCACCCAGCATGGTGCACACCATCAATATCTACATCCTATTGCCAACGCGTTAAAATTGTTTGATGCCTCTCTTTCGAAATCCCACTGAATTGTGATCGAAGAAAGATCAGATTTCGATTTGGCGTTATGATGGTTAGGTTGAGATTTGTTCTCTTGAACGTGATCTGGAGAGGGAAGCAGAGGAGCATCCTTTAGCGCGAGGTCAGAGCTATAAGGTGGATACGGAAGAACTCTCCGTTGAGAGTCCCAAAATTTTCCTGAATTTTCTTAGCAAGAGGTGGTTCAACGGTGTCATAAAAGCAAACTTTGCCTTGCTTTTTCTTTCGTATTAAAAGCGTTGCATTCGAGCTGTGGATAGTTGACTTCCGCGTTGACTGCGACATCTACACGTAGGGGTTTCCGGTGCTCAACTCCTCTCATGTTCCACCACAGAGGGACGGGGTTAAACTTTAGCAGTAAGAACTCCCAAAGCCTTTGAGCTGATTTATCGCCGCATGTTGTTTGTTAGCACACTGTACCGTCTCCTCATCTTTGACAAATGTAAGAGATGGTGTCAGATCATGTTTGGAGCTGATTCGGGCTCAAGGCATGTGGGATCAAACTCTATATTTTCGGATCTTCACAAGTCTTTGGAGATGCCACAGTGCTGTCTCCTTGTCGCATCGGAATTGCTCTAGCAAATGATCGATACTCTATCCAGATCCCTTTTCAACAGCGTCAGATAGAGCATCGTGATTGTCAGTCACAGGGTGGTTGGAGTGTGGGATTATTTCAAATAAAAAAGTCAACGCTGAGCAGAGTGAAGCGCCGGTGCACCGTGAATTGAGAGAGCGTGCCCTCGCCCATCTTCTGGCTAATCCTTGGTGTAGCATGACTTGCGGAACATTCCAAGCAGTACTCGTAAAAACTCAGAGCACGAAGAGCTTTTTGAAGCTCTTTCTCAAAATCGGTGTAATATCCATAACAAGTAGCGAGACAACGAGCTCGACAGTTGGCTGAAATTGCAAAGGTGGGTGCTACGTCAGCAACATACTGTGGGATTTTCGAGTTCTCACAAAATTCTCTAGCATCAAATGTAATTTGTTGCAAGACTTATGGACCAACCTAATACAATCCTCTGGGAAGCGTAGTGCACCCCTAGCCTGCCGGGGAAGTGATTTTGATTAAAAGTTCGACTAGTGACACTGTGTGGGCTCAGCGATAATCAAAAATTTTGAGATGCAGCACACTAATCCGTATCTCATACGAAACGCTCGGTCTAAATGCTTAAAAACGAGAATCTGTCTGCCTGGCTCTGCATTGCTTAAGCCTACCGTGTTATGCGCGTAGTAGCGTGCGGTGCTGCTAGTAGTACATATTAAAAGTCGTTTAGAAAGTTTACGCTGTTTTTCGATCCTCAATTTGGAATGCGTGTATCTCGGCTCAAACAAAAAACCTTTATATGGAAAATTGTTACAATTCTCAAGCTTTTGGAACAAACGGATTCAGTTGATTCGATTGGCAAGACTGCTGTAGCTCTGAAGGTGACGGGTTCGACTACGGGCGTATCGGCACCGTTTTATTCGCCTCTACATATCTTTGGCAGTTCCATGTCGACAGTCGTAAAATGCGGACAACTTGGATTCGTTATATTCATGTCCTTGGGTGCTCTTGCGAAATTGACAACTGTTACGAGAAGATCTAAATGCTCAGGAAATATTTCGAACTAATTTATGTGAAGAAACCCATCAGTTCGATTGGGCTGACCTAATCGCTGAGGACAATTTCTTTGAAGAGATTTCTTATAAAAGTCTACAGATATGCCAGCTTTTGTAATCGTTTCGATTGGGCATTTTGAGAATCATCTTCGCTTCGGAATGCGAGGGTTCAAAGCCGCGATATAAGCAATTAAAGGAATCCTCGGAAATTCTTGCATTCTTCCTCAACATGGGGCTTGGAGCGAATGGCGGGAGCATGGAAAGAAGTGCGCCTTGGGGCGGCTACGTATCAGGCGACGCAATGAAAGAATCGGGTTAAAGCGTGCGATTTTGGAGAGTAGAGACAAATCGATCGATAGAATAGGATGCAGTAGAAGTGTGAGATGTAATGCAATAAGTCAAAAGGTCAAAAAGTTTCTAGTGACAGCACTCCGTGAACCAAGTGGAAGCGTTCCCGTCGCCAGCATTTGTGACAGATGTCCGGCGGAATTTGAACGCGTAGCAGTCCTTTCGGTTTTTCGAATTGTTTACCAAAACAAATGCAATTTTTTGTTCTTTTCGTTCTTATCGTGGACGATGGGTCTCAAGCCAGTGATTTATGGGTTAACCAGAATCATGATTTTTTCGCGAAAGATTCCTTTAACGTATTTCTTTGGCCCAACGCTCTATACTCGAGGCACTTTTTCAGTCGACTACAATCCGCTTCCGAAATTCGATGTGATTGCCGTCTCCGTCTGCGTAGTTACACAGTTCACTCTCATGTTCATTATCACGAATCTGGAGACGTAAGTATTTTTTGCGAACGAACTTCGACGTGTGTCTTTGTCGGGAAAGGCCACACTATTAAAGCCACCTCTTCGTATTTGTCGCCGGACAACAAAAAAAATCAGCAGTTTCATTCTGAAAGCACGGACAGTAACTCATCTATGCCAGTACAGCGAAACGTTTTGCAGTGTCGGATCGATGTACGCAATGGCGATGTGGAGTTGGAATTCACATCAGGCTGTCGTTTATATTGGTACCTACTTATTACATTGTCTGCAAGAGATTTCTTATCTGGCTCTATTGGCCATGAGAATGCTCACGTCCTGGATTTGCAAGAAAATACGTAAAAAAAAACTATAAAACTGTGCAGACACCCATAAGTTATCTAGCAATCGCTTTACGGATGATTTTGAATACCCTCCAACTAGAAAAAGTGACAAACTGGAACGCCGTATTCTGTATGAACATCAAATTCCAAATTGAAAACAACTTTTCCCCAGTTTTTTTCTAGAAAAGATGGTTTTGCCTGCTGTTAGTAACGATGCAGTACAATATACGGGACTGTGTTATACGTTTTCTTTTCAGGAATTCTGCAGGCGGTCAGTGGTGCTGCAAGTGTATTGGTGTATGCAGGCTTCGTAATCAAACTCGGCGATTAGTGAGTACTTTAGTGCTTAGTACAGCAAAGTGAGAAATGCTACGCAATCCCAGCCAGCATTTGCCCACAGAACAGAACAGTGTTGACTTGATCGAACAAGTAATGATCTTGGTATCTTCCCATTTCCTGTCATCTTCAATCGCAACCGAGCGATCCTCGTTTTTGAGAATCTGTATGACCGCTTAAAGGCACGATCCAGGATTAGTCGAGCTCACCTGTTGAATCCCTGCAATCGGTAGACAGGCGAACGAGGGTTAATGTGGTGCCTACTTTGCGGCTTGAAAGTGCGCGACAAACGCGCAGGAAGCTCGCTCTACTCGCAATCCACACCCTATTCCGCAAGCCCCACCCCGCGCGGCCGAGATACGTTGGTGCTGCGAGAAGAGTGCGGCCGCAGAAGCGGCAGCGTTAGATTGCGACTCAATGTCGCGCAGCCTGTTTGTGGTGTGAAGCGTCGTTGGACTTATGCCAAAAACTCGTAGAGGGGGTTCCTTCCATGAATACTTTAAAAATGTATCTTTAGCGATATGAATCAAAGGAACAAACCAGAGATGAAGACGGAGGTACTGCGTACAATTATGGCCACAGCGCTAGCTATGAAACCTACGTTTTACTGGGTATAAACAATAGTAGACATTGTCAAACATATAAATGAGAAACAATTAAGATGACAAAAAAATTTTGGAAAAAAATTGCGAGAAAGAGGAGGAATCTCGCAGAAACTATCCGATTGCGCCGATTTCCTACATCTATCGATTCTGGCCTAGAGCCAACAATTTGGCACTGGAGCAAGTTTGGCCATCCGTTCGTAAGAACTCGTCCAAACCCAATCCCTCTACATTTCAAGTTGAAATAGGGCTTAAACGGAGGTCGGGATGTTGCCGAGCGTTTCGTCTAGTTTCTTTTTTGTTTTCAGATCACTGTCTACCCTACGTATTCAAACGCACCCTGCCCACTCATTTTTTCCCGAAGCATGTCTTTAACACGCTGACGACAGGCATGCGCGTCAGAAATTTGGCACCGCATCGGACATTCTGACGCGCATGCGCGTCAGAACTATGTCATTCATTTTTATTGTGCTTGCGCTCCTTCTTCTC